TTTTTCAAGGAAGGTGTGGGTCTATTTCATGAAGGAGAAATCCGAAGTCTTCACCAAGTTCAAAGAGTGGAAGGCGGAAGTAGAGAACCTAACCGGAAGAAAGATCAAGATCCTAAGGAGTGACAATGGTGGTGAATATAAAGACAGCAAGTTCCTTGAGTTTTGTAAAAATGAAGGCATTAAGAGGCACTTTACCGTGAAGAGGACGCCCCAACAAAATGGAGCTGCGGAAAGGATGAATAGAACTCTCATGGAGCGTGAGAGATGTATGAGGATTCATGCGGGATTGCCCGAGTCATTTTGGGCGGAGTCAGTTAACCACGCTGCCTATTTGGTTAACCGATCGCCTTCTAGAAACCTTGAGTTCAAATGTGCAGAGGAGGTATGGTCTAATAAGTCAATTGATTATTCAAATCTGAAGGTGTTTGGATGCAGTGCATATGCACTTATTCCTAGTGATGAAAGGTCCAAGTTGAAGCCAAAGTCTCTTGAATGCATTTTCATCGGATTTGAGAGTGGTGTGAAGGGCTACAAACTATGGGATCCAGTGAACCAAAAGAAGATACTCAGCAGGGATGTTGTGTTTGATGAGAAGACCATGCCTATGAACAAAGTCAAGAATTCAGAGGCAAAGGAGGATGTTGTTGAGCGAGAAACAACCATTGAAGTTCCACTCAAGAAGGTGTTTAGGGAAGCTTCACAAGAACAGCCAACTGAAGACGTTCAGGAGGAGGTGGAGTCCAACCTTGAGGAGGAAGATGTTGGGCAACAACAACAAACTCAAGAAGAAGAAGAGGCTCAAGAACGGGTGGAGCCATCATCTATAGCTCGGTCCAGGCCAAAGAGAACCATCAAACCACCACAAAGGTTTGGATGGGAAAAGGATGCAGTTCACTATGCTTTGAATGCTAGTGAAGAAGAACCAACCACATTCCAAGAGGCTGTTAAGAACAAGGAGCGGGAAAGTTGGATGGAAGCTATGATGCAAGAGATGGAATCTCTACACCAAAACTTAGTTTGGGAGTTAGTTCCTAAACCCAAAGGTCGAAAGGTTATTGGCTGCAAATGGGTGTTTAGGAAGAAAGAAGACATGCATGGGAAAGGAGCCACCATATTCAAAGCTCGATTGGTGGCCAAAGGATACTTGCAAAAGGAAGGAGTTGATTATGATGAAATTTTCTCTCCGGTGGTGAAACATACTTCTATACGGCTACTACTCTCCTTAGTAGCTCAAGAGAACATGGAGGTGGAACAAATGGATGTGAAGACTGCTTTTCTCCATGGGGACTTGGAGG